ACGTAGAAATTGTTGAAAAATAGCATAGATTTTGCGTTCAATGAGCTGATACACAGCAAAAAGCTCAGGAGATAAATGTCAAATAAATAGAAATTCCTCAAATTTACGATAATATTTTTATAAAGATCACCATTCTGGTTTATAGCTTACACTTAAATTAAGAAGTTCTAGCATTTCAAAAATTAAGGTGGAAATATGAGTCGAGGCAAAACAGACTTTTCAATGATGCAAAATCGACGATTATATTTCATAGGTGAGAAGGATAAATAAAGGGTAAATTTAAAAGCTGAGTTTACATATAGATATTTAAGCTTCAACAAATCTCTGGATGTTAAACAGAGACATGGAGTATCTAAAGCATATATAGATTTTTAATTCATTAAAAACAGAAAATTTGTGTTAGCTAGAGACAAAAATATATAGTTAGTGAGTAGGTTTTAGAAACTACCAGTAAATCATATATATAAGTTGCGTTCACCATATTTCGTTTAAGTTGATAAAGGACTGGTAGTTGATTTTTCCCACGATGCTATGAGTAGAGTTGATGTTTTACTTTTAATTTCACATAGCCTTGATTTTCCAAAAGGTGTTCTCATCCAGGGCGGACCGCAGTTTCGACCTCACATAGGTCTTATCAACAGCCCATCAAGGAGTCGAAACATGACAGTGCAACGTCTAAGCTCGACACGTTAGCCACTACATCATATTACTACGAGTGGCCTTGAGTCATTAGGTACAATTCCTTGAAATTCGCTGAACTGTCATGGTTCGACACCCGCTACGAGAGTTTATAAGATCTAGGCGATGACGAAACTGCAGTACATCCTGGATGAGAACACATTCGCATTAAAGACTCTCTAACTCAAAAAATTAATACTCTAACATTGGCATGGGATAAGCGAGTTCCTCCCTTAATAGAATACTAATCTGACGAAAACCTATATTGGCTCAGATCGTAAAGTAAAAAACGTCCGAGTAACCATGAGTATGAGGGAAATGAGGGGCACTTTGATGCCAGATGTTCATTGCATTGTTCGTGGCAGAAAAACTAGACGAAGTTTATTACAATTCAAAGAGAATACTCAACCTGTATTTATCTAAAATTAACTTCCGCCATCTCACCTCTTTGAGACGATCATGCTCAAAATCTTGCCCTATCAGATTGCGTTCAGCCTCGCTGCCTCGCTGACATGCCTCGTTCAATTGACTCCTAAGACGTTCAATCTCGGCGCGGTCCGCTTCGATATGGTCCAATCGGATCATCGGAGCTGTAGAACCGGATGCTGCTCTCTCCGATGCTGATACGGCCCCTACGGCCGTTGTACCGGCAGATCCTGATCCAGTAGGACCACAGGAAGCTCCTGTACCGATGGCAGTAGCCCCATTAGCAGCTACCGCGACTGTCTTGCCGGTCTTCACAGCCTCTAGGAGACGATGAAGACTTTCCTCTGTTGCAGTTAGCGACGACTTAGTCATGGCTGTTCTTCTGTCTGCCTCCTCCACGGCCTTAGTCAGTTGGCGGTTCTCGCGCGTTAATTCCTCGATCCTATGCTTGGCAAGCTCCAATTCATTAGAGCCAGTTGATTTGCTGGCGGCATCGCGCTCTCTACGAAGTTCAGACTCAAAGCTGTGGAGCGTTTGAAGCATTGTCTTAAGTTATTATAGAAAATAAAGTAAACAAAACGGCCTTTTTTATTTTCGCAAACAACATCTAATAACAATCGCTGAAAGACAAGCAAAAATAGTATGACTAAACTTAGAAGGACTTCGGTACTTAGTCTCATCTGGAACTGAAGGATGGTTACTTTAGAGTAAGGACTGGTGAAGTTTCCAAAAAGTCCATAGCTAATCGCCATGTGACTGCGATAAATCCTTAAGGAGCTTTGGTCTGTCATGTGACAGACACAATCAGAGCAAGAAAACATACTTTTCGAAATAGCTCAACAATATACCAAACCAAGAGATCTTTACACCCGATATAGTATATATTTGTGCTATTTGATAAAGTATGGTTTCTTGCTTTGATGGTGCATCTCACATGACGGACCAAAGATATTTAAGGATTCATCAGTGTCGCAGTATGCTGATCTGCGGACTTCTTTGCACAATCCAACAGTTTTTATTCAGAGAAAATTCTCTTCGGTTCTAGATAAGACTAATTCACAAAGTTTTTCAAACCAAATTTTCCTTCGAAATGGAAATTGAGTTTACAGTGTTGGATACTTAAAAACCCTGTTTTTCTTCATATTAGCAAAAATTATGACTCTATATAATCTGAAGAGGGAGACTACGCTATAATGAGTCCTTCCAGAATAAACTAAAAAGCATTATTTCATTAAGTCATTTCTATAGGTATCAAAGGTAATAAATTTTTTTAAATTGAGGCTTTGAGTTTAATCCGTATTTGAATTTCCTTTCAAATCTAGCCAAGTGATTTTCTTGACTAAGAGGCAAAAGCAAACATCATATAAAGATCGAAATTATACATATATTAAGAAGTCGTGAAGTCCCTGTTATCATAATCAATATGCACTATTTATTTCGTTAACAGTAGGTTTTCGAGACTATCAGCAAATCAGATGTATGAGATTTGTTCACCCTACTTCGTTTAAGATAATGAAGGACTGGTAGTTTAATTTCCCAACAATGATATGTGTACCGCCCTGGTTCGAGTCCCTCTAGGGGTGTCAGTAAGACCTAGGTGAGATCGAAACTGCAGTCCATCGTGGATGAGTGTACCTTTTT